GCCGTCTCCGAGACGTTGCGGTCGCACTGCTCGTAGACCCGCTGGATGTGCTCCCAGCGCACCCGGTCGGCCGACATGGGGTGCTCGGGCGGCGGCGGCAGGTCGCCCTCCTCGGCCAGCAGCGCGGCCAGCACCTGGTCGGCGTCGGCCGGCTTGGGCAGGTAGTCGGTGGCGCCCGCCTTCACCGCGGCCACGGCGGTGGCGATGTTGCCGTAGCCGGTCAGCACGATGACGCGGGAGTCGCCGCGCGTCTCGTGCAGTTGGGTCACCACGTCGAGGCCGCTGCCGTCGTCGAGCCGCAGGTCGACCACCGCGAAGGCCGGCGGACGCTCGCTCACCCGCGCCCGGCCCTCGCGCACGCTGGTCGCCGTCTCGACCGCGAAGCCGCGCCGCTCCATGGCCTGCGCCAGGCGCTTGCACAGCCGCTCGTCGTCGTCGACGATCAGCAGGCTGCGGTCGGCCAGGGCCGCCAGCTTGCGCTCGATCTCCTCCTGCGTCGGGCCCTCGGCCTCGGCGCCGCTGTCCGTTGTCATGACGGTCTGCACGCTCATGTTTCCCCTCGACTGTCGAGATGGTCCCGCGGCCAGAGAACGACAACCTCTGCCCCGCGGCGGCCCGCTGCGCGCGGGCGGTTGCCGAAGCGCAGGTCGGCGCCGGTGCGCTCCAGCAGGGTCTGCGCGATGAAGATGCCCAGCCCCATGTGCTTTTCCGCAGGCGTCTCGCCGGGCCGGCCGCTGGCGGCGTCGCTGCTGCGCCCGCGCGGTCCGGTGGAGATATAGGGATCGCCCAGCGTGCCCAACACCGCCTCGTCGAAGCCCGGGCCGTCGTCGAGCAGCCGCAGGATGACACGATCCTGGTCCCAGGCGATCTCCGCCTCGACGCGGCTGCGGGCGAACTGCAGGGCGTTCTGAATCAGCGTGCCCAGGCCGTGCAGCGCCTCCGGCCAGCGCGGCACCTGCGGCTCGTCGCTCTCCGCGTCGGGCGGGCTGAGCACCACCTCGAAGGCGATGCCGTCGCGCTGGAAGGGGGCGGCGGCGGCCTCGACCAGCGCCGACAGCGGAATGCGGTTCAGCGGGTCGCCCGGCCCGCGCCCGCCTTCGTCGGGGCGGCGCGCCAACTCGGCGAGGATGTCGCGGCAGCGCGCCGTCTCCTCGCGCAGGAGCTGGATGTCGCTACGCAGGGCGCTGTCGGCCGGCAGGTCGCCGGGCAGCTCGCGCTCGATCTCGCGGGCCACCACGGCGATGGTCGCCAGCGGGCTGCCCAGCTCGTGCGCCGCCGCCGCCGCCAGGGCGCCCAGCGCGCTGAGGCGCTGCTCGCGCGCCAGCGCCATCTGGGTGGCCGCCAGCGCGTCGGCCATCTGCCGCGATTCCTTGGCCAGGGAGGAGACGTAGAGCGCGAGGAAGCAGACCGCCAGGCTGATCGCCACCCAGATGCCGGCGCGGTAGATGTCGGGCAGCAGAAAGCCGGTCTCGCGCCAGGGCAGCGGCAGCGCCCAAAGGCCCAGCGCGGTCACGCAGGCCAGCGCGAAGCCGGTCAGCAGCACGGTCACCCGGCGCGACAGCGTGGCGGCCGAGACCACCACCGGCGCCAGCAGCAGCACCACGAAGGGATTGTTCAACCCGCCGGTGATGCCCAGCAGCACGGCGAGCTGCGCCAGGTCGAAGGCGAGGTAGAGGCCGGCGCGGCGGTCGTCGAGCCAGACCGTGCCGCGATGGCCGATCGCGGCGAAGAGGTTGAGCAGGCCGGAGGCGGCGATCGCCAGGGCGGCCGGCAGCACCGGCAGGGCGAAGTCCAGCCCGATCTCGACCACCAGCAGCGCCGTCACCTGGCCCAGCACCGCGATCCAGCGGATGAAGACCAGGGTGCGCAGGCGGATGCGCCCGCCGGCGCCGGGCAGCGCCCCGGAGCGCCGGGCGCCCGGCGG